AAAATTATTGAAATCACGTGATCACAACACAGAAATTTTTGGGTCAAATCGATTTGTCATGTTTTTTTGCCTACCTCGAGTGGGGCTAGGAAGGGGGCGGGTATGCTAATCTTTTGAGGAGATGTCGAAGACTATGATAGCAAAATTTGACTAAAATTCGTTCAGCCATCTACGAGCAATTGTTAGTTTTATTAACATTAGGTCTATGGAGAAAAATGGTTTTGAAGTTGACTTTTTAACGAAAATATAGTATAAAAAGATCAAAATTGGGCTATTTTTGTCCAAATATTGTGTCAAATTTTTTGAATATTTTGTTCCCTACAAAAGAATATTCACTTGAATTTTATGAAACTTTGCTATCATAGTCTTCGACATCTTCTCTAAAGATTAGCATACCCGCTCTTTCCTAGCTCCCCTCGAGGTGGGCAAAAAACATGACAAATCGATTTGACCCAAAAATTTCTGTGTTGTGGTCACATAATTTTAATAATTTTTTGATACAAAAAACTAGACATGTGGACATTCTTTTACTTTTTACAGATTTGATCTAGCTCTTCTAGTTTAGCTGTAATATCAAAAACCGCGGCGACAGATTATGTTGAATAGTTTGATAACATTTTTTATAGCATAAAAATCTATTCATTAGTTAAAATAATTAAATTTATACATTTAATAAATGTTTAACTATAAAATTCATGCGTATTACCTATTATAAAAACCATACTTGACAAAAATTTATAAAACTAATACATTTATAATTGTTATTATAATTAGATCACTATGAAGTCTACTATCGTGATGTTGGCCGTTGCGTTAATCCTAGCGGCTACAATTGTTGATGAAATGAATTGCCGTTACAAACAAACTACAAACAAACGTGATAAGAACGCGCATAAAAACAAGTTTAACATACCGTGTACGTTGAGAAAGGACTGTGAATCGCTTGAGTACTGCCATTCTAAGCAAAAGATATGCAAGCCATGTATTGCGAAATATGAAGACCTATCGTGTCAGGGTAAAGGTCAAGCCAATTGTTCCCCTACCTACACCTGTTATAAGAAGCAATGCATGAAATGGGATTGCGAAGAGCAATAAAAAAATCATCACCCTGTTATGATGCAAACAGCAAATTAAGTTTTTGTATTTATTTAATAATTGTATTATTGTATAATTTCTAATGAGTAATTATTTTATATTTATGAATTATGACGATTTTATAATGCCCTAAATAAATATAATAATTTAATTAAATGTTGTATTTATTTATAAGTTTATAATAGAGTAGGTAACAAATGCGACTACAATTATATTTAAATGGCGTATAATAATTAAATTTATTTATTGAATAACAACTTTATATTAATTTAAAAATAAATGTGTGCATACAGGAATACTTTTATTTTTAATTAATATCATTGAATTTTAGTACCATTATTTTATAAATATTGATTATGAGAATTAATTATATGTATTAATAAATAGATAGAAAAATAAAACAGAAAATAACCTGTGTGACCAAAAGAGATTGACCGGCTGTGCAACAGATCATCTGTATAAGTCTTTTCTGAATGCTGTTTACAAATTAAGTGACCAACTGTCCCAATTTCGCACATTTTGCACAGCGTCCCAACGAGGGTCTCGTCGGGATCATAAAACATTCCGTTCACATATTTCAATATTACAAATTATTTATTTGATAAAATACAAAAGTTTTATGCTATTCAAACATTCTAAAATTCATTCTTTATTTTAAATTTCATCAAAACATATTAATTATAATTTAGTATTATTAGTTCTGTTTACTTTTTTTCGTTAAGTTGTTTCTCATGGTAAAATCGGGATATATAATTGATTAGTCCAACACATTAGTCATAATGTTATAATTACATAATATTGATCTACACTACACAAATACAGGCATTCCAAAAAATATTCCTATAACTTATATACGATATCTCGAAATATCCCAAAATTTATTGCAATTATATATCATGTTTTATTCATTTTATATCATTTATAATATTTTATATCAATACTTAAAATCTTTATATTTAACTACAATTCAGTATGAATAATGTGATTAATAGGATCGTTCGGCCCCCCTCCCTCCCCTCCTCACTTTAATCTCTATAAATCCGTTCCTAATGGGGAGGTATTCCTTACCGAGAAGTTTCCCTAAAAAAAAGGTTATTTTAACATTATAAGTATAGGAAATCCAACATACATTTAAATTCAGGTCCCTATGAGGAGGGGTTCCCATAAGAGAAATTTCCCCAAAAGAGGTTGCACTGTATATTATTGTTTAAATCATGCATTAACAAATGCGGTATTATTTTAATATAATTTTATTATATTGATTCATTATTATTAAGTTGATATAAATTTTCATATTTACATGAAAATATTTAATTATTTATATTTATTATTTTAGATATTATAATAAACAAGATTACAGATCTATATTTAATTAATTAGCACTGTTTACATGTTAGGTGTAACTGGGTAAAAATATTGTAAATATATAAAACAGAAATGCTTACATTAATAAAAACAGAAGTAAATCTGCTTTATTATTTATGTACAATCTTGTATTCACTAATACTATGCAGATATTAGATAGTTGCACAACAAATACGTTTAACAAAAACATGTTTGTAGGCATCCATGATATAGAATATTGTATAAATAAAATAAAAAAATTTAATAAAAATTTGTCATGTAATATAAAATAAATTATATATTGGATAGAGAATTTTTTATATATACTTTGCATGTATTATACAGTAGATACTACTTAAAATGCTATTAATTTATCACAATAAGTCCAGTAAAACACAACAAATATTTCTTAATATATTAAGCTTTATAATTGATAATTACTAATTGTTCAAGATTTTTATTTTTAAATACATAGAAAGGTATTAAAACTATTATTTTTGATATAATTCTATTGAATATTAATATGTTATAATTATTTATTTTTATAGTCTTGTCATTATTATTGTCAACAATTTATATCATGATTACATTAGCACAATTGAAAGGTCTATGCCATTTATCACAAATACAATCAGTCATGAAATCACAACTCACTATAAGGGGAATATTGAAACTATTGGTGACAGTGGTTTGTTTGATAGGCTTTTTTAACCAAGCATCAAAACTTGTCGCTGAGTACAGAAATGGCCGCACTGTTGTTAGCACAAGGTTCGACCGGTTACACGACCAACCGGTACCGGCGGTCACCATATGTTACCCATGTTTTATGTCACTCGAAAGGGCCGTCACATTTAACAATACGTATCGACAAATATTTAATGAATACAAGAAATTACTCGACAGTATAGAGACGGGTGACCGGAAAAACACCGCTAATAATACTGAACGGCTATCGGCGCTGTATTTGGAGGTTTACGACCGGATCGGCATCATAGGAGACGACCCAATGCCTGTTAGCGACATGTTTGACAAAATCAGTTTACCGTTCAAAAAATCCGATGATACATTGTCTATTTATGTGGGCGCCAGTGGTATAGCAATCTACCCAAATAATTACATCGGTAAGGAAATCTATTTTGACGATGAACCGATCGAAAGTCTAACCCATCAAACCAGGGTTTATTGTATCAGCAAGTGCTACACATTTTATAGCGCACTTAACCCACGATGGCGTGACCGACGACTGGACATGGATTACATGTCAATTTATATCGAGCATAATAACAGCTGGTTTCCGGCCAACATGTATGAAACATACGACAGTAACCTTCAGGTGGCCATACATTCACCCAATGTATTACCCGATCTGATAAGGGGTGAACATTTTGCGCTTTTGGAGCCGCGTCACCATCATTTGATTACTTATTCCGAGATCAATACCCATCTGTTGCCGCCTGATTACGACACCAATTGTCGCGACTATTATCGTCACGATCTCACAAGCGATGCGCCCATTCGTAGCGATTGTATCAGTCGTTGTCTGATCAGCGCTATGCAGAATGACTGTGAAATTAATTGCGTGCCTCAAACTGACGCACTATTGCGACGCGAGTTATTCGATGGCACCGGTGCTTATTACGAGACAGCCGGCCGTCACTATTGTCCGAGATTGTTCAATAATTATACAATTGACAATTGTTTGGCCACCAATATGCTAATGAATAAATGGATTTGCAATGACGAGTGTCGGCCAGATTGTCAGTTTCGGTATTTTGATTGGGATTTAAAAATAGAAAAACCCACAAGATGGACGTCCGATACCACTATCACAATTAAACACAACATAATGCCCGACCAATTGGTCCGACACTATCCGGAGACCACGTTCACGGGCTTTGTGTCCAACTTTGGCGGACTTTTGGGCATGTGGTTAGGGATGTCGGCGTTGGGCACGTTTGATATGGTTTATTGGTTTGTCGAGTGGTTTAGTAAATGGTTAAGTAAATGGTTAGTTAAGTTATTTAATAAGTGTATTGTTAAATTGCTAGATAAGTGGTTAGTTAGGTGGTTTATTAAATGTTTTGTAAGTTTGTTTGCCAAGCTCAGGTCATTACAGCCGGTGCCGAAGACAAAAATCGAAACCATAAACATCCAACCACAATTTATGTAACTCTTAACTATGTTATATTTAATATGATGATATTTAACTCGTATGAAAATGTAATGATTTTGTGTATTTGTTATTAATTACAACTATTAAAATCCATGTAATACACTGTATGTGTAAATAATGTATAAGTGATATAATTTCTAACCAAAATCATCTATGAATAGTGTAGTTTATAGGATTGTTTTCCTCGTTATGGGATTTAACATGAGATTACATTTTAAGTCTATGTGATAGACTTAACATGTATAATGCTAATTTTATGGAGCTATTTCCATAAACTTAACATCAGTTAATGTTATCCTATGGGTAATATTAATCCTATGAAAAGTTATTTCCTATGGGAAAGCGAAATTTGAAAATTTTAAAACTAGTTTTTCTCTATGTTAATCCAACGGGACTCAATCTATGGGAGAATGCTTTAACATGGGTTTCTATAAGTTTACAGCTAAAATCTGCAACAAAGGCTCAACATAGACCATGCTATATCCTATTGAACTGATGCAAATAATACGGACAATAACACGTCTATAGTAATGCTAAGTCTATTGAACTAATATTAATCTTATGGGTAATGTTAAATTTATAGGATTAAGGCTAATACGGACTACCGATCCGTACGGCCTGTCGGGCGCTATTTGGGCGCCACATTACCACCACTGCCATCGTAACCGCTCGCACCTCTACTACAACCACCAACACAACTGGTAGCCAACACCCGGCCTACGAGACCCTATCAGTCACAACACCGGCACCGCATGTCCTACACGTGCAGCTGAACCGGCCGTCCAAACGCAACGCCGTCTCCCGTATAATGTTTGCCGAAATTGGCGACTGTTTCGCCCGCATAGACACAGACAAGCGGTGCCGAGCGGTGGTGCTGTCGGGCGCCGGCCAGTGCTTCTCAGCCGGTCTCGACTTTTACGACATGTCGGCCATCGTGTCGGCGGGCAGTGTTGACGGCCCGATCGCCGCCGACGCTACCGCCACCGGCGATACCATCCCTACAGACGTGGCCCGGAGGGGTGCTATCATACGACGGGTGGCCCTACTATGGGGCGGATCGCTCAACAAGATCGCCGAGTGCTCTAAGCCGGTGGTGGCGGCCATACACGGCCCGTGTATAGGGGCTGGACTTGAGGTGGCGCTGGTGGCCGATGTGCGCCACTGTTCGGCCGACGCCTACTTCTCCATACGTGAGGTCCGCATAGGTATGGCCGCCGACATGGGTTCCCTTCAACGGGTGCCTAAGTTAATGGGCAACCGATCGCTGGCCCGGGAGTTGGCGTTCACCGGTAGGGATATGCCGGCGGCTGAAGCTCTGGCACAGGGTTTAGTGAGTGCTGTGACTGAGGGCACGGGTGCCGAACAGGTGCTGGAGTCGGCTCTGGCTGTGGCCAAACAGATAGCGGCCAACAGTCCGGTCGCAGTTCAGGGCACGAAAGCGGCGATGAATTATAGCGACGAACACTCGATTGGGGACGGCTTGGAGTGGATGGCCGTCTGGAATCAGGCTATGATCCAGAGTGAAGATCTGGTCACTGCGGCCACGGCTACGGCCACCCGGGCTAAGGAACCGCCACAGTTTAGTGACTTTTAGTGTGTTTATTTATCTAGTTTGATATTTTTTTGTGATTCGTGTTTTTTTAATCTGATTTTTTAATGTATTTAATTAATGTTTATTTTTATATTTGTAATTACATTGCTGTAATTTTTATAATGAAAATATTTTGTGAATTAAAATTTTGCATTTGATTGATAATTAATTTTTTAATTGTAATAATTAATATGATTTCATCAATCTGTTATCAACTGTAATAAGATAATTTTCAATAATATACGTGTGTTATAAATTAAATCATTAGTTATACTTTTGGATTGTACCACCAGCTACGTTTTTATTTTTTGAATTTACTAACGTTAATTATCAATATAAAAACGATTATAATTTTTATGCATTCTATAAAATTATACCTATTTATATACCTAATTAGTAATTAGTAAAATATAATACTGATATTTTTGTGTTATGTTACATCTTATATTTAAGATAACAGTCAAACACTCATGGTTAATTTGATAACAGTTTAATAACTATTAATAATTACAATAAATTAATGTATTTACTAATGTGTTTCTTCTACCAGTACACCGATTTTACAATTATTTTAATAAACTATAATTATCAATTACATTAACAGTACTTACATAATGTAAGTTACATTAGAGTACTTTATAAATTATAAACTAATACAGTACTTCTAGATTTAAAATTTGTGATAACAGTGTAAATGCATTACAATAAATGCATTATATTTTATAAAACAAAGCCCAACTAATAAAAGTCTATTTTTTAAGTTTATAAAAACTCAAATAAGTTAATTTATTATTATTGTACTTAAAATCCGTTAAAATTATGGCGACATGGTATTTATAATTTTTATTATAGAGTATTACTTACAGTTAAATATAATTATTACATTGTGTGAAACTTGATTATAAGCTCTTAATAATTAAATAATTATTGGGGTTAGCTTAATTTTGGCTACTATTAAAATACACCAATAAAACAAATTAATACTTAACTTAAATTACTACTGTAATAATATAATACAAGTATGTGTACTTAAAAGGTCTAGGTTAAAATACTGGGGTGGAAATAGGGGTGATTCATAAACACTTACCATAAATTATCTGATTAAGTTAGCGATGTAAATAATCGAATTGATAGATAAGAAACGCATTATTACATAGGAAATTGTACATGGTGTATTAATTGTACTTGTAATACAACCCACGCAAATACAAATTAACTCAAAGGAAAATTCAAATAAACTTGTTGATAAATAAAATATTTTAAATTTTCATTATGTAATAATGCATTGCACTTAATGAACTAGATGTTTATTATTTTATCAATACAGAAATCATTAATTTTATTATGACTAGAAATTTTATAGTTTTAACTGGTTTTTACAATTATAATTATTAATCGTGGTATAAATAACTAACAGCTCAGTACCAGTAATAATCATATCTAATCAATTAAACCCATTTATAACGTATTGTTACCATAGTGAAAGTGTTATAAAACACACCCTATTTTTGATATTTTAACAACAAATAACAATTAACAAAGGGTAATTAAAAATTAACAGCTTAATTAATTTACCCTCATTGAAATTAGTACTACTGTATACTCATTGTAAAAATTGGCTACTGTTTGTACTTAATATTTTATAATTAAAACAATTGATGTAAAAATATTTTGATTTGAGTACGTGTTAATTATAACGTGAGTGCAGAGTATAAACTCAATTCCTATGACCAAGAATATTTATATCACTGTAAGTAATTTGTGATAAATATTTTTATTTTATTCTTATGTATACAACTATATTGTGTATATATTTCAATTCAACAATTACATTTTATTGTTAACTATTAATACAACCTGTGTGAATTAATTTTATACCAAAACACAATTGTATATAAGTTGTTACACTAGTTATAAATTAATTATAAATAATTAAAACTTGTCTAATATAACTCATGTATTCAATTAAAACTAAAAACTAGTGTAAAGTGAATGGATGTGAAGGGTATTGACAAAAACATTATCAATAAATACCAAAACATTAAGCAATTGAAACGCTCGCACAGCAGCTGTACAGCCAGTGACGGGCACCGGGAGTCTGTCCACCAACACTACCGCATACATCAGGCCATAGACACAGCCATCGACAGAATGCTTACTAAAAACGTGGACGAGTTAAACACCACAAGCGTTTCGGGCAATAAACTAGTCGACAACCCGTCGGTACCGGCGGTGTCCGAGTCTGACTCCGAGCTCGAGCGGCACCGGTTAGAGTTGAGTGAACTCGAGCACCGGTTGGCGGGTGTGGAGAAAGAGCTCCGGGAGTTCAAGCGTATCAATGAGATACAGGAGAGTTGTATTGAGACGGCAGAGTCAGAGATACTGAGACTTACGCAATGTCTCCAACTGTCCGAACTCCACGTTCAGGAAACGGTCGAGATATCCGAAGTGAGTATTGATTTTTGACTATTTATCATGTTCATTTATAATACATGGTGTTTTATTTTATTATGATATTTTATTAAGTACATAATTGTCATGTTGTATTTATAGAAATCAGTAAACATGATAAGTAAGAGATGAATTATAAAGCATTGTTTGATTTTCTTATATTGATTTTATGCATAGTCGGTATTGTATAGACACACCCTAGATAGTCAGCCAGATAATGATCTAGCTAATGAGAATGGTGTACTTTTATTTCCTAGTTACTAGACTAGACACTGGTATCTTACTTATTTGTGTTTAACTGTTTGATAAATTAAGCACAATTAAAATCAGTTAGCAGTCGTGGCCGAGCGGTTAAGGCGGCTGACTACTGATCAGTTGGGATTTTCCCGCGTAGGTTCGAATCCTACCGACTGCGATATATCATTTTTGATTATACAAATTTTAACGTAGTTAATTCGTTTTTGTTATAATTAATACAATAATAATAGCAAACATTAATGCTTATATATTATCAACATATTTTTAAACATTATATTATTATGTTTTTACATGTAATAATTAACAGATATACTAAAATATACAAAAAATAATAAACAGATTAATGTTTATGATGAGAAATAAAATGAAAATGATAAAATAATTAAAAAAAAGTATAAATAATCAAAATAAAAATTAAGCCACTTTTGCGCAGTCGGTAGGATTCGAACCTACGCGGGGAGACCCCAATTGATTTCTAGTCAATCGCCTTAACCACTCGGCCACGACTGCTATATAGCAACATGTAATCCTTATTATGCGAGTGCTTAAAGTCATAGCAAATTGTATTTTATTTGAAATAATCATAAAATATTTTTATCATGTGTTATATTTTATTAAGATGATAAATTATAATTAATAATAATTATTAAGCTTACATATGCAGAATTTATTGTGTAAATTCAGCATAATTTAAGTGTTTATTATTTTTAATAATACAACAGATAATTGTAAAGCTGTTGTAGAATGCAATTATTAAATAAATATCATATGTTTTAAGTTTTATAATACAATTATTATCCAGTTATAGCTTTAGTTATAATTTAATGCACTTAATCCCTAATAGAATATGATGCCGGTTAGATTATTATTACTAATCTATTATAATAATTTATTAGGGATATTTCACTTACCATATTTTGCTCAATTTAATTTTTATAATTTGATACGAATTTTATTTAAAATAATACTGCATTAATTTCATAAATAAGTTTATATTATAAATTACATAGTACAGTGTATGTTTTGTTATTTATTAAATAATTAAAAACTACAAACAAATAGTTTACAATATTATTAAACTGTACATTATTTAAGAAATAAATTTTAATATTACGTTAGGATTTTGTTATAAAGTTTTATGGGGTTGCAAATGTTTGCAAATGCAAATAACTGGGAACGTTTTTAATGTATCACACATTTATTTAAATTATAAAAATACATTAATTTATAATATACCGAGCTCATAAAAAACAAAATAAATTTTATTTCGCAGTTGGTAGGATTCGAACCTACGCGGGGAAACCCCAATAGATTTCGAGTCTATCGCCTTAACCACTCGGCCACAACTGCTTCATATATAACATACCCTTAAAATGCGTAATCAATCCATTAATTACCATCACAATAAAAATGCTATAATCAACTAAATATAAAACTGCAAACATAATCAAATATAATAATCATTATTAAAATACCGTATATTTATTCCATAGGAAATCATTGGCGACTTGAAAGCAAAGCTTGAGAAATCAAACGACGCTTTGGCCGCATATAAGGCCAACGCAAACGCATGGGTGCCCACCACCGGGCCCTCCACCAGCACCCCCACCAGCCCCACCACTAGCCCTCCAACCAGTCCCCCGTTGTCACCCCTATTCGCTCGCCGGTACCAAAAAACGGGTCGAGTCGGCGCTGGTAAGCACGGGGCCAAAGCGGGTGGTGTGAGTAAAACACCATCATTTTATGTGGATTTATTGCACGCGGCAGTTACCGATCACCATGATCATAATAAACGTAATAAACAGTACCATAAGCTAAATCTAAAGCTATTGTCCAGCGAAATGAGCGCCGATATGAAACAGTATACGCTAAACATGATCAAACAACTTTGGCCCCAACCCGGTGGTCCGGGCGCGGGGCACAGTGTGGAGGACACTATTGTACAGCCATTGGTCGATAGGCTAGATGACAGGTTTGGCCAACACTGGTGTTGTATTTTGGCCAATAATAACGCAGTTAGCAAGTGCGTTTTGAAATATGAACCTGGTACTTACCTGAAGTGCGAGTTGAATAAATATGTGCAACTAATTGTTTATAAAACTTTATTAACTACTATTGATAATAACGCAAATAATAATATAATTAATAATGGTAACGCAATTACTGATAGTAATGAATGTCTGTTAATTGATACATCAGATGCGCCCGAGGTATGTAATTAAAAAATACATTTTAGCAAACTAAATTTATAAATAATTTTTATAACTTTAATATTCTAACTCTATATACTCCATAAGAAATATATTTAAAAACTAAATATAATATAAAAAATTATTTCTAAATTAATTTACAGTTTTTAGTGCATATAACAAATACTTTCAGAATCAAAATTATCGTGAACAAAATAACTCTATTAACTAATTTTTAAATCAAATTACAGATCACGAGTCCTCCAATCAGCCCGACTACTAACACACCGCCCGCGCTGGACAGTCAAACCCCTGCGCAAACAACCGACCCATTGATACATGTATTCAAAAAGAGTGCAAACCTGGAGCCAACAATAGAAAAATTCATTATAGGAGTGGCTTTAGACGCGCTGTACCGGCACATGCCATTGATTGATGACCATGGTAGTAGTGGTGGACTCGTGGGTTATACCATGGAAACGTACCAGGCCATTTGCGTTACCCTAAGGGACACTATATGCCAAAAGTATAGCGGCCAATGGTTTGTGTCTGTGGGCGCCCGACAGCACTACTCCACCTCTTGGGCCAAACTCCGGAGCCGTAAGTTTATGTTGTTTGACGTGAATGGGGTTAAGTTTACGGTGGGAGAAGTGGGCACTGGATGGTTATGGTAAACAAACACCATGGTGTTATAGTTCAAAACCATAGTGGTCACAGTTTTGTATATTGATTTATATGTTGAAATGTTGTAGAATTAAAATTTAAATTATTATTATTTAAATTATTTTAAATTTTATATTTATTATTACAAGAGTATATTTTAAATCACGATATGGCAACATAGTATAATTATTTATTATTATTTTTAATTATTTATTATATTTTGTAAATTTAAGAAAACATTTAAATAATAAATTGTGTATAACGTTATTTTAAGTTAAAAGTGTTTTAATAATTAAATAATTATTAAGATTAAACTAATATCTAACAATAAATGAGTAATTATTTTACATTAAACATTTACATTTATAAGGAATATAATTTTAATTTCTAAAACTATTATCTGATGAATAAGATGTTTTCTGTACAAATAATCAATTCAAATAATAAATTAATTTACCAATATTTGTAATTACATATTTAACACTTTCCAATAATTGAATAATTAAAACCGACGAATTTTGTGAAAATATTTTATAGTTTTATTTATAATTTAATTTTCAAAATCAACTTGTTAATCCTAAAACATATTTATTTTAATCATTAAAGTAAAACACATTTAAAATCTATTATTTATTGCACCGATAGTCTCATCCCATTTCGATAGATCACAGAATAATGTAAGGAAATTAAAATTTTAAATGCTAATTTATAAAACATTGTCAATTGCATCCGATATACTCGTAATATGTATTTTAAAATGTACATTTTTAACAAGCTAAGTTTTAAAATAATTTTAACAATGAACTTACATCCATAGATAATTGTTTCCATTAAACATTAAAGTAAAATTATAAAATAATACCACAAAATATTTGCAAACTAATTTACAGTATATTTATTAAGAAAAGTGTTGCATGTTGCCATAAAAAATTATAACAAAATTCTTAAGATCTTTCCATTAAAACTTATAATAAAATTTTTAAATAATACAAAAATTATTTGTAAATTAATTTACAGTATATTTATTATGATGGTCGTCCCAATCTTCCTAACAAATTATTGTAAAATCTTATAAATTATTTCTCAAACAATTTAGTTTAATTATACATGCAAATTATTTTTAAATTAAAATCAAATTAAAACCCTACATATTTATTTTAATTATTAATTTTAGTCATCCGTTAGAAACTATTGTAAAACAAATTCAAAATTCATTATTTATTGTCAGAAATTTTTACTAAACACATGTTAGGCCGCCATCGATGGGCAGAATAGCACCGGTAATCATATCGGACTTATCGGACAACAGGTACAGTACAGTGTGGGCCACGTCGTGGGGCTGACAAAACCTACGGAGGGGGTGTTGGGCCAGCCAGGGGTCCCTCACCGCGGGGTCACTCCAGCCCACTTCGCCCATCTCGGTCAACGTCACCGTAGGGTTCACCGAATTGACCCTGATGTTATGTGGGCCCAGTTCGAGGGCCCACACTTTGGTCATGTTGTCCAGAGCCGCTTTGGTCGCCCCGTATACTAAGTGGTCTTTGATGCCTATCATTCCGGCCACTGATGATAGGTTTACAATGGAGCCGCCTTTACCACGTGCTTTCATGCCCTGTGCGACCACCTGGGTGATGTTGATCACCGATTTTATGTTGACGGCAAAGTGTCTGTAAATCGAGAGAGAGAGAGAGAGAGAGAGAGAGAGAGAG